CCCCCACCCACCTACTTGCTTCCTCACTTATTTCATTTTTGCTGAATCTCTCTTTAACGAGGGAGGAGGTTTTTGCTCATCATTAATTCTTCCAAGATGGGTTGACTGCTCCTAACGTGGAAAATATAGAAACAAGATAATGTTGTCTCTATCATAGGCTACTTACACTCACTACTTTAGTTTTAATTCAAGGATCTGATGTGTCTCAAAACCTGTCCTCGTACCCTAGAAAGATTGTGTTTCCATGAAACAGTTCATTATCTTAATGACATAATACAAGAGGATGACTAAGTATCTTCAGTCTTCAGAACTTGCAATAGATGTAGGCATGGGCTTTTAACTTGGGGAGTAGGACTGCAGTCCTCCCCCTTATTTGTTTGGGACCAAAAGCACAAAGGCTGAGGAAGTGGACAGTGGAATTAGTTCATGAAGTAATTGAGAAGAGGATGTCCGTCAAAGAAAAGGCACTTTGGTAAGTTGGTCACTTGACACTAATTAAAAAAACTACATCTGTATATCCAATTTGTTACATCTCACTGTTCTAAGGTCCATCTCTACGTCGGTTGTATAACAGTATTCAGAAGCTATGGAGTTCTAACAGGAAATTTTCATCTCCCTTGTGCATTTTGTGGGTCCTCGTCTAAAGGTTGAAGAAGGAATCATTTAAAAAATTCTTAAATCTGCCATTGTGGATATATGAAGAATAACCTGAGGGGTATATTATTTTCACCTTGGGGGACACCTCAGAGTGCCTTTCGCACCCTAAAAATGGGCTGAGACGGAATATATAGCTATATAGTTACAAGACAAGCCATTTCACCTATCCAAGACGAAAAAAGAGAATTAAATATAGAAACGGAGAAGAGACTGAGAGAGCGAAGACGGGCCATTTCACACTCTTAGACAAGAAAACATTCTTATTTTTGGTACATCCTGCTTTCCACTGTTTGCTAATTCTGTAAAAAACTTCATACAGTTAGAACACAAGTACACGAAAAGAACTTGATCATACCAATATCGAACAGATTTGCATTGAGAGCACCGAGTTGTGGCTGGACTATGGCATCTTGCACACTGATGAATTGCACTGCTTGGCAAAGGCACAAGAGGGGTAGGGATAATACTTACAGCAGGCACAGTTTCTGACTTAAAAGCTTCTTCAGCAGCCCGTTGAGCCAGCAAACCAACCCTCTCTTTCTTTTTGGCTGCCTCATTCCATTTGCCTAGAAGGATATAAGAAACCAGGGGAAGCACAACCAGGACCAAAAATAAAGCAGGAATGTCGGTTTCCCTTGGCTGAAGCATCTTCTCACCAGCAAATTCATGTCCAACTATCTTGCTAAACCTTTTGTAGCTAGCCTGATCTACCTAGCTACAAAAGCCCAAGTAAACCGGCAGCAAAATTTTGCAATGTTCATGTTAGATGATTCCAGCACCACATTATCTGTGAAATCAAGCAGGTGCTTATCATTGTAACCCAACTTATGAAAAGTAAATAATCCAAATGTATGGCAACAAAAATGTAACAACCTTGATTAACCCTATTTCCCTTTCAGGAAGAAGTATCGAACTTTGGATATTCTAGTAGCAGCAATCTTGCAAAATGATTTCTTATCTAATAAACCTTGGAGAATAAATGACTAAAAAAGGCATCTCGGTGCACAAAAAATCCCGTGTTCATGCAGGGTCCGGTGGAGGGCTGCACCCATGGGGTGTGGTGTAGATAGCCTACTCCTATGCAAGCATTAGTAGCTGCTTCCACGGCTCAAACCTGTGACCTATAGGTCACACGGAGACCACTTTATCGTTGCTCCAAGGCTCCACTTCTTGGAGAATAAATGACTACAATAAATAAATAACAGCTATCCAAACATGCTTTTGCTGTACAGCGAACTTCTCTCAGAACATTCCCAAAAATCTGTTTAAACGCACCTTCTAATTTTGCTTATTTTTAAAACATTCTTAGATGGACCACCTAAGTAGAAGTTCTTAGAGAGGTCATGCTAGAGCCCCACCTCGGGAAGCTATAAGATAATCACAATCACAGGCTATTTAAATGCATTTAGGTGTAGACAGCTTTACGCTTATCCATATCAGCTATATCTTTGAAACAAAGAGAACGCAGAAGTGCCAGGTGAATAGAGGTTTCTATAACCAAAAATGCCTCAAAACCTAGACCTAATTTTTGTCTTCCTGAGCTTGAAATTATATCGCATAAAGCTCATGGTGCTTCTTCGCCCTGATTGTCTATTTATCATCGAAACTTTAAGTTTTTTTGTTTTTTCAGAATATACTCATGGTTCAGAATCCAAGCAAAATCATGAGTTTCTTGGTGCTGGTCACGTATCTATGATGCTCAAGTAGAGCAAAAGGTACTCAGTTTTTAGGTATGAACGAAATCAAATAGCTCAAGTTTGTTTTACTCGTTATAACTTAAAAGATATCCGAGATTCAGAACTAATGCAAAATCACTTTAAGTTTCATGGTTGTGATCATGTAAATTTGACTATCATGCCCAACTATGTTGTCTTTGAGACAGGAGAAAGCATAATTAGTTGCCATTTGTAAATGATCTCAACTTAGTATCCTAATGGGAAAACTAAATTTCGCCATCAATATTGTGCTTGTCTCGCTAAAGGTTCTTTTGAATCAAATACTACAAATATGAGGCCCACTTATACAATTATCTGACAGCCGTCCGGAATAATTTTCAGATCTCACATTTTTACACATTAACTGAATTCTGCATAACATTTACAAGAACAACTATGCCCCAGTCTCAAATAAGTTGGGGCCAGCTATATGAATCCTCACTGACCACGTTACTCCATTTAAGCTCATCTCATGCCAATATTATGCAAATACAAGTAAAAAGTATAAGAAGTTTGAACTCCACAAAATAATTACACATAAACTGATAGAACATATAGCGCACTGAATAATTATTAGAGAAGACACAGAATAGCTTTAGTTTTACACATTTTATTAGTGAACAAAGTAAGCCCTGTGAGATAAACAAAAAAGCAAGTTTTTCTCAAAAAATAAAAGCTAGCTATGTTAAACCCAAAGTTGATGAATCTTTGACCTATTAAAAGCATTTATCTATTAATCCAATCCATTCTCTCTTGCCACTATCTGAGCATAAAGCTAGCCTTTTCATATCAAACATGTCTCCAAAGATTTCATCCTTCTCTCCCCAACGTGTCATTCTTCCTACGTTACTCAACACAAGAGATTAAAATGCAAGATGGAAAGAGCCAATACACATTTCTAGCAAGTTCAAACCACTGTTATTTTAAGTAAGTTTTTAGCTGATGAGTTATGTTCATAACTACCTTGGAAGCAAGCATAAACTAGTAAACTACGATTTCTCCCTCTTGAAAACCTCCACAACCCACCCCAATTTTCTCTCTCCTTTTCTCAATTTCCATTAACTTCAAAACGCATTTGTATATTTGCACTTGAATGTTCTATTTACTATTATGTTCTATTAACTTCAAGTTGATTAGGATAGTAACATAAACTCTAGTAAGATGCACACAAACGGCTAGACAATAATGTGCATAATGAGGGGTCGGTAGGAGGGAGGGAGGTACTTATCTGTGGATACAATATTATATCCGGAATATTGTAAACTGACCATACAAAATAGTCATTCCCTCAGACAATAAATGGCTAAATGACTCTTTTATTACAATCTTTAAGACATAACACTATAAGTTCACAAATTTCAGCTACTTCCTCTATATGTCTACTAATATATGCAGACAGCAACACCCAGAATGGAGACAAATTAGACAAGCAGAACCAAAGTAAACAACTTCCTAGCAGCTTAATTAGCTAGTTTATACATAACATCCAAAAATAAGGGTAACAATCTGAATCAAGAAAGGGAATTGCAAAAGATAAGTCACAGTCTTTAGCAACCAATAACTCAAACTCAAAAGTTCAAAGATCAGCTTTTTCAAATTCATATTAGTACTAACATAAATGCTATGGTTAGAGAAACCCCAAAAGAGGGCATTATGAAAATAAAATGTGCACATTTTCTCACTCTCAAAAATCCAATCTTTCTCAACACCATGCCTAAAAAATCGAATCTTTAACTCATTTTCATTAACAAAAAGTAAAACCCATATGAAAAAATGAGGATTTAGGTAAAAACAAACATAGGAAAACTGTAAAAATCAAAGAAAGATTTGATTAGGTAGCTCAAGAATACCTTTTTTTCTTTGAAGGATAAAATCTAAGGTAAAGATTTTGAACACCAGTTTGACCAGTTGTCACTGTCTTGTTTGACCCTTGTAGTTGTAGCTGTAGGTCTTTTTCTTCTTCTTCCTCTACAAGTCTAAACCCAGCAAAGATACTTTGATTCCTTAGTTGGTAATAACATACACACAGACACACAGTAGCTCATGCTCTTCATTTGCCTCGCTTCTGGCATTCTCACACTTTAAGACTAGGGGAAAATTAATGTATAACCGCTCATAGCTAATTTTTGTATGTTCATACACATGTCAGTCTACCATTGCCCAAGATAGGAATAAGGATAGACACACTTCAGTTCTAGAAAATCACAGCCGTTGAGAGGAAGTCAAAAATTAAAATAATCAGGAGGACAAAGAGGAACGAAAAAAGGGAACATTAACAAATGATGTTTTTTTAATGTAGTTGTAGGGTTAAAAGAAAGAGTGGGGCCCAGTATATGTATTTGAGTTTCCAATAATGTAAAGAGGTGCCACGTGGACGGGTATAATTAGGTAATGAGATGGATGTATGTAATAAGAACTCGCGAATTTTCTTGTTATGAAGTGTTAGGCCATGTAAAGAAAGGGAAAGAAAAGATACAAAGAGAATTCAACTTTAAATGCTTATAAAAAATAGAGGAGAAAGCGAAATGAGATTAGGATTCATTTTAGGATAGATAAAGACCAATTAAACTATAATAAAACAGGTTTAACTTTAGACAAATACCTAATAGCCCCTTAAAGTTAGCATAATTTGTCACTTGACCATTCAAACTTAGTTAATGACCATTTTAACACTTTCACTTTGACATAAATATATCTCTTGAATGCTTGTGTTCACGAGATCATTTGCATGAATCTTACTCGTTGTTGACATGTCAATTAAAACTTTGTTTATCCAGTTTATTTTTTAATTATTACTAATGATTATACCCCGTCGATAAAAACTTTTTACTTGATTCTCAAAAAAAACAAAATACTTTTTTATACGTCCGATATCCAAAATTCATTGCTCCAACTAATCTGAATATGCATCATGTAAGGTCCACTAATGCAAGAAGGCTCTCAACCAAAAACTTATTTATTTTCAGTATTCGACTTTGCAATATCTAATTAAGGATTGATGGATTCTTTCTATTCTACCATATTTTTTTTGGTCAAACTAAAACTAGTATAATGTATAAATGATGAAAATAAAGCCAGTAATAAGACGTGTTCTGGCATATTCTGCAATAATATTCTGACTTCTGACTATGTTTTCTTAGAAATGCAGGTCAAATGCTCACAAATACTGCCATCGCTAGTTTGGGGGACATCTCGCCTTTCATATTTTTCTTTATATTATTTTTTAATTACTTTTTACATCTATTTTAATTTATGGACACAGTTTCTTGATTTTAGATATTATTTTGATAGTTGAAATGAGATTTTATCTTAGAACAAAACGTATATTTGGACAACTTTAGGTTAAAATATAGAACCCTCTAAAATGTTGGTTGGATTGTATGATTGTATCTTTGAAAATACATTTTATTATACATAACTTACTCAAGAATCTCAAAAAAAAGATAATAATACTTATTTTAGGTAATGAAAATGATTAAATAAAGAGAAAGAAAAAGATAATTAACTATAATTAAGTAACAAACGTGTAAGGGGATATGTACGAAAATGGGATAAGTAGTGGCTATTTGAGGAAGACTACAGACTATAGAGTATGTTGGGTGAAGTACACAAATAATTATCAATGTCGATGGTTTTGAATTTCTATCTCTGCTTGTTCTATGTTGAATTTCAAATTTAACAAGTGTTGTTCTTTGCTTGCCCCCATGAACAATATTTTAATTTTTTATCTTGAAGTTCTGATCATAAAACGGTCATATTTTTCATGCTTATGGCTGTTCCGATGCTTGTTAGGCATACAATGTGAAGGAATATTAATTACTTTGAGTTTTGATTTGATCAATTTCCTTATTTTCTTGTTCACTGTCATTACTTCATGTAGCAGTTCTGATTGGTCTATGATGGGAAGGTATTCTCTATAAATATAGATCACTCTGCTATACTGTCCTTAATTATCATAAAAATAACCCTAGTATATTATGTTTCATTGAATACATGAAAAAAGGGTTAGCATCTATTTATAAATAACGTCTGCTAATCACAAGCTAATAGTTAATACACCTCATTTATCCACACATAATTAATGTAGGATATTTACTCATCCCACATATAATCTTATTAGGATTAGACCTTATATTATGTTTACAACTTGAGTCAACGCACTATCGTTTTTCAAAATATAAACTGATAATTATTTGTTATCGGTTCAATCATATCTATTGCTGGGAAGTTCATTCTGTTGGATTTTTGAGCTTTTCCCTTCCTATGTGGATTAAAAGGTACCTTTTGGACCTAGTTCACTTTGCCCGATAGTCACTAATATCAAGACATATAAATATGACCTACTTTAAGTTTGAAACATAACAAGAGAGGAAACATAAGGGTGCGGCCGTTTTTGAAGCTTTGAGGGAGAAAAGTGTGTTCTTTTGCTCTAAAATATTTGTGCTAGGCAGTCCGCTTCAAATAGCATTTTTCGACTCGTTAATCGTTGGATCGTACTCAAATTTGAACTGGAAGTTCTCAACATCTGATTCTTGTATTTCAATTATGGAGATTGGATTTGGTAGTGTATAACTTCAGTTTTGGAGGCCTGAACAATAGCTCTTATTTAGGGTGATTTCTCTCATTTCTTCAATTGTTTTGGTGCAATTTTACTTCTATTGTTGTTTAGAACTTGCTATGTGGTCACTTTAGAAAATTTTTGCAACTCTTGTTGATTGATTTAGTGGAGCTTTGAGAGACTTTGGTCTCGTGGTTTTTACTCTTCATATTGAAGAGATTTTCTATGTAAATTTTGGTACCTCATGTATTTGATTATTTTAGCTTGCCATATTCTTGTTGGTTGATATACTTGCTGCAGTATGTTTGTGCTTGAATTTATTTGTCTTCTCTTGGTTCAAATAGATTGAGAAAGTTAGATTTAGGTATTATTTCACTGCTACTTTATCGTGCACATTGCTTGTTTTTTCCAAACATAATGGTATCAGAGCCAATGATTTGGCATGACGAGTATAGAGGTGGCAGAGCGATGGCGTAGGGCCCGGCTTAGTGCCTTTGCCCATCTATGGGTCGGTTTACTACCTTTATCCGTAGCTTCAAAGACGCATACACAACCTCTCATTGGGCTTCAGTGATAATAAACACTCGGATCATGTGGGTGGCAGACAATTAATCTCCAATTTAGCCCATGAATGGTGATGGGTCGTGTGGAACATAGTTCAAGAGGGAGATTATTGGGTATGTATGAACAAAGTCTCACATGTAAAGTAGAAAAAAAATAGGTTACTTATTAGGAGTTGGATACTCTTAATGGTGTGAGACCTTTTAGAGAAAATCGTGCGGGCACCCAAAGAAGACAATATCACATCATGTTAAGAGTATCTTTGGACCGTTTTAGCCAACACAATCGGGTCCAGATTCCTTCTGAATTCTATCCTCCTGCTCACTCTTCACTGATATTTCCTTAACTAGGAAAATATATGTTCTGATATGTCCACTACAAAATGAATGCTACAATGACATAAAGTTTTGAATTGTTCTATTCTATCACTCGTTTTGTAATGAAGAGTAATTGCAACGGCTAAATTTTGTTCCTGAAAAAAAAAATAAAGACAAGAAATAAAGTGACAAATATTATATTTGATTTCAAGTGATAGGATTACAATATCTAAAATATCTCAAATCTAAAGAGATGTATGGTTCAAGAGCTTGAGAGCTTGATCTTGAACTTGACGGATTTCAGATTTGTGGTGCGTCACTGATAAGTGGGGATTTTGACTACTTATTAGTGCTTTTTAGCTTTTGTTTTACTCCAAAAGCGTTTAATTGTGTTCCCGAAAACTGATGAAATGTGGTTAATTGCAGGAATATTGAAAGTTGAACTCCCGAGATGAAATCCAACTCAAGAAGGAATAATCTGAACTCAAGGACATAACAGGCACAGAAGCTCAGAAGTGCAGACCGCAGAATATCATCTGCAGCCGCAGATTATGAAGGAAAAGTCAGCAGAGTTTGGTGCAAAGTGCGGTCCGCACATGAATTATGCGGCCGCAAAATCTGGGCCAGGAGCAAAGTTCAGAGAATATGCTTTTCAAGTCCCTCAAAAGTGCGGACCGCACAAGAATTGTGCGGCCGCAGAAGAAGTGTTATGCGGCTGCAGAAATAAAAGCGCGGACCACAAAAGATCAAGTGCGGCCGCACATATAAAAGTGCGGACCACAGAAAGAGTGCCATGCGACCACATATCAGAATTATGCGGCCGCATACTTCCAGTCCTGACAAGCTGAAGAAAAGTGCGGACTGCACATGGAATTGTACGACCGCAGAACGTCCCGAAGGGCATTTTAGTCCGAAATTTTTAGCCTTGTATAAATAGACGAGTTTCACAATTTTAGGTCAACTTTTGACTTCAGCTGCTACCGTAGTCATTTCCTTTTACTTCTTTTAGTAGTTTTTCATATTTTGAGCTATTTTAACATAGATTTCATCAATTTAATCTTGCAATATGAGTTCAATTATCATTTCTTTTTCTATTTCTTCAATTGCAAGCATGAGTAGCTAGATAGTCACTAGGGCAACCCTAGTGTGTAAACTTAATGGGTATTTAATTTAATGGTTGTTTATGGTTGGGTGTTTATTATTTAGCCTTGTTTATGCTTTAAATTGTGGAATTAATGGTTGCAAATATTAGTTCATGCCTAATTGACTTAGTCTCTACTTGAGAAAGAGAGACTTAGTCTAGAAAAGCTTGGCTAACAAGAAATTGGGTCAATCGAGAGATTGATAATCCCAATTAAAGGGTTCAACCTAGAGATAGTAATAACCCGACTTGAGCTTTTATCAACCATTTTGTTCAATTCTCATTTGGACTTGAGAAAGCCAAATTAGGAAAAATAACTCTCTGACCGAGAGGTATTGAGTGGGTAATTGAGTGTTGATAGCTATAATACACCCCGATCAATAAAATAAGTATTAAGATTTATATCCTATTAGGCAAACACCTAGGTGATGGTTATAGCCCTAGGCTTTACAAAACATGAAAAACAACAAAAATATTCTCTTAGTTTTATTTCTAAACTTGCAATCTTAGATTTAAATTAGACTTAAAAACAACCCAATTTTGTGTAAGTGTAAATTTAGATAGTCAAATTCATACACTACAATATATACTACTGACTTCCA